TCCTGAATTTGTGTTATTTTAAATAATTTCTCAGCATTTGTATACATGTACATTCCTGACWCATTCCAGCTGTCCTTTTGACAGAATCACAGAATGGTTGAGGTTGGAAGGGACCTCTGGAGATCATCCAGTCCAGCCTTCCTGCTCCAGCAGGGACATCCAGAGCACGGGGCACAGGGCGGCATCCAGGTGGGTTTGGGAGACCTCCAGAGAAGGAGACTCCACAACCTCCCTGCGCAGCCTGTTCCAGGGCTCTGGCACCCTCACAGGAAAGAAGTTCCTCCTCACMTGGAGATGGAAAAACTTTTCTTTTTTTCTGAGTTCCTGTATTTACATAGGATTTATTTCTTTTTACCACRTTAATATTGTATAGACCTTACCAAAAAAAAAAAAAAAAGATTTTTCAACCCTAAAGCTAGATCCTGGGCCAAATCTCATCTCCTCGAATAGTGTTTCTCTAACGATCTGAGCTTATGCAGGAAGGTGCAGGGAAGACTTTTTCTTTTGGCCAAAACTCCCTCTGCAGCCTCCAAAAGCCAAAGGGCTGTTCCAGGCAGCAAGGTGAGGGCCTCTCCTCTTCCACAGCCGAGAACTTCCATTTTCAGCAGGTTGCTGCAAGCACCAAATCGCTCGCAAGCACCTCGCGATGACAGGGAGGCAAGTACTGGCATGCACCTTSCAGATTTGCAGTAAAAGGGAAAACTCGGGCGCAGAAAAGCATTGAGTGCCTGGCGGTCGGGATGCTTTTCCCTGTAGCCTGCGCAGGAGAGGTGCCGGAGAGCTTCCCTCTTTGCCCCAAGGGCCTGAGGAGGGGCCAGTGACTTGTTCCTGAGCAGGCGTCTCCCGCTGCTCCCTTTGGTGGAGCGGTGGTGCTGAGGCAGGGCTGATCACCGGCCTTCGCTGCTTCCCCACTCCTCTGGGTCTCACCAGYTTGCCAGCTGCTGAGATTCGCTACATCAGTTGCCGTATATTAAACAGGATGAAGAGGGAAAAAAACAGGGACTTCGGCATTGTGGAAGCCTCCTATGTACATGTTATTAAATACACTCTTTATTTCTCTTTCCAGTTGACTGGGTCCCTTGCGTAGGAGCAGCCTTGGGGGCTTGTAGACTTTTCACATCTCTAACAAAACCCTAAAGGACAGAACAGGATAACGGGCACCGGCTGCTGCTTGTTCTCTACCAGCACACCCCTTACCGCAATTACAGTTCCGTTAGAAAACTCGACCTTATCTGAAGAGACGTTGTCAACTGCCTTAAAGCTCCCTTCTGGAAAGATCTTAAAAAGCTATTGAAGTGTTTCCGTAATTACACAAAGGAAAATATATTAGATAAAACATGCTGATAAAATGAAGATGGTTTTCTTCTTTAGGATCTTGGCCGTAATGAATTAAAGCTGCTATATGAACGTGAATCAGTTAATCCTCACAGTCTCTTCAAACATAAATCAAAATTATCATCTCTGTGTCCAGCTGAGGAGAGTGAGAGAAGGGCATTTTAGTGATCTGGCAAAGGGTGTTTAGTGAGTTTGTCACAGAGCACAGCTCCCAATTCCTAGAAGGTAAAGAAGGCTCTTAGCATAAACCAAAGTTTGATAGTGAATAATGGGAAGAAATACTCGCCAGAGATATCACAGTGTGTGTGTCTGTCTAGGCCCTTCTCTGGAGAGTTTTCAGGAGTATCCAGCGTTAGAACTAAGATGCAAGACTGGACASATTCCTGATCTTGGCCAGTGCTCAGTGTTGTGTTTCTCAGTGAACTGTCTTGAAAAATTGTTCCAGAACTGAGAAAATGACTTAGCTGCGAAATTCCCATCATTTGGAGTTTTATYTAGCCTGCTAAATGCGGCTGTGATTTGAAATTTTCAAATTCATTTTCTTTGTCTGTAATTGCCCTCCCCAAATTTGATATTTGTGTTTATTCGCCACATCCACAGGTGGACCATCCTGTAAGGATTGCTGCCATGGTCCTGAAGGTCTTCTTCCCTACGTGTTGCTCCTCAGCGGAAAGTGGCATTTTGATTGGCCGCTGGATCTCGGAGCAGAGCTCTGCTGTTGTCCTCGCCGTGGTGCATTTCCCCTTCATTCCTGTGCAGGTGAAGCAGTATCTCAGCCACGTCCAGCAGGTGACCAAGATCAAAGTTTCCGTGCTTGGCTCGTGGAGCAACAGCAAACGGGAGAAGGAGGAGAGTCTGAGTAAGTTCTTGGAAGACCTTGGGACAATATTTGCCCACGAGCCGTGGATTCAGATAAGCAAGGAGGGAGACAGCAAATTTTGGAGTTGTTCTACCCTTCAGAAAGAATCTAACAGCTCTAAGGAAGAAGAAATCATCTTAGTGTATTATGACCAGCGCAAAGTCATGCTTTCCCAGTTACATCCCCCGGCGAACACAAGTACTGACCCTAAGGCAGATGATGCTTCAAAGCTCACTGCCGTGTTTGACACAGTTGCCAACAGCAAGATACTGTTCATGACAGACAAATACGATGATGGGCCCGTCAAACTGACCCACTGGCAGTCAGATGGGGTTGAAGCTAGCATCATCGTGGAGCTGCTCAAGCAGGCCTCGGTGCCTGTGTGCCTGCTGTTGACGTTCCTGCTGTCCCTTACCTCTGTGGTGTGTAAAAGCAGGTAAGCCCTGTGACCGTGTCTGGGTGCTACCGGGGAATGTAATTCATGCTTAGGCATTTTCAGGGCAGTGTAGCTATTGTTTCTGCTTAGCTAATGGTGGCTAGGAAATGGATATAATGTGAATTGTGCCAATCTCCTCATAGCTACTGGTACTGCTTGTAATCTACTGCTTGTAAGCTACTGGTACTGCTTGTAGGAGCCTTTCAGGTGTCTGCTTTCCTCATCTCTGAGATCATCAGCGTGCAAAAGGGCCCTTGGACGGTACAGCCGCTGACACGGTGGGTGAAGACTGCAGAGCTGGGTGCTGACAGGAGCTTTTGTCTTTCAGGGTGCTTTTCCGAGGACAGGACCATGGTAGAAAGCATTTCCCAAGTGCAGTGCAGACCCTTTCGTGGACGTTAACCCCAGCAGACACAGGCCAACAGCTGCCATACCTAACGTGACTGATGAGGTCAGGATGCGTTAGACCCGACTGCAAGGAGGTAGAATATGAAAAACAGCTTATAAGAGGCTTCACTGTGAGAAGGGAAGGAGAAAGGGCTGCTATTTTTGCCAGTCTCATTACATCCACAGGCCAACACGGCATAAACTGATGGTGTGTTAAGTTCCATGGGCAACAGCAGGTAGAGAAGCTCCTGGACAAACCCTCTGTTACAGACAGGCTGCAATGGACCCACTCTTAAGGTCTGGGCGGTTTCAAGGTAAAAAGTAAAAAAGCTCAAACACGGTGGAATTTATGGAGGAGCTGGAAGGCAATGCCCCATTTGCAGTAGAAGGGGTTCAGCCCCACTTCAACTTCATCATAAGTGAAGTGGARACTTTTTAAGTTAGAGCATGGCTGGTTAGAGTGAGGAGAGTATCTTCCTTGACGATTTAATAGCTGGGACTCCCTAGTCTTTGCTATGAATCCCTCCATGGCTGTGAAACATCAGCAAATAGTGTATCTAAATCCATCATCTGCCTCACAAACAGCAGTGTTACAACCATGGGACCTAGTAGCAGGAAATGCTGCTCTCCTTGAGCCCGTGGCTAAATCCTGCCGTTCCTCCTTGACTCCAGTAGAGCTTCACTGCTGTGAGCAGGATACCTCAAGTGCCGTGTGCGGCAAACTCATGCGCTAAAGGGAAACTCTGAGTGATGTGAAAAGCAAAAGCTTCTTTGTATAAGGCTTAGTAACATGTCTGGTGAGGTTGGGTTGGATTGTCAGAAAGAGGATTGGAGCTCAGATTCCAAGCTGCAAGAGGACACTTTGAGTAATCAAATTTACTGCTGTATTCATGGGTAGATGTTCTCAAGTATAGCCTAGGGGTATGGGAAATGGAGTCTTCTAACAGGTTTCCGATTGCATGATACTGTCATGAAAAATTACGGTGAAACTCTTCATAGATGAAGCTTTGCTGAACAGTTAGATTATGTGCTTTGATATAGAAGGGAAAAGTGTCCRTTTTTGAACGGTTTACAAAATAGATTTGGGGCCAAACTCGAAGCTGATATAATCAGGAACTACTGATCCATGGGATGGCTTTGCAGATATCAGCTTTGCGTTTGGCCACCATGCTGGTCAGAATTTTGTAGTTAAATAGAAGACGGTGAGTCAGAAGGTTGGAAGTCTTTTCTTTTGTCTCGCCTTGAGCTGTATGTGGCCACCAAAAAACAGACTGACTTTCTTCTGCATAGGCCCGTGGTCTTAATGTCAGACTTYGCCCGTTGCTCAGTGCAAGCACTCAGGCCAGGCCGAGATTCAGATCTAGCCCAAGCCTCACAGATCTCCAGATGGCCGGGGCCAGGCGTGACATGGGAACTCCAGCTCATTCCATGCAGTCTGGCACGGCAGGCACAGGTAGCCTCGTTTATCAACAGCTCTTCTGACTCCAGCTTTTTCTCAACCCAGCAAAGCTGCTTTGAACCAGAGCCGCGACCAGCTGTGTATCCTCATGTGCAGGTTGTGAGGCTTAAACCTGCTTGCTTAAACCTAGGTTGAATCTGTTCTTAACCATAGGGATAGATACTGATTTCCTCCTGTTTTGTTTTATTCACCTCTAGTATTAGCATGTTATTTGTCTGTCTTACGGGTGTTTTAAATCATCAGTCTACGAGAAGAGAGATTAATACCTGGTTTTATGACAAATTTTCTGCCTGACTTTTAAGGCGTTTCATGCACTTTCATTCAATTTGCCACTTATGTAGGGTGCATCTTCCTTTTTTGATGATGTACAGAATGCAGGAAAGGTTCACGGTAGTTGAAGATCAGCATCTTTCCAGGCCCCTACTCCCTGTGCTGGRACAGGACATATCTAAACTGGGGCCTACCAGGTCTTTGCTGCTTCTGATCAGAGGATGGGCAACAAAGGAGCAGCGAGGCCTGGCTGGAATCGAAAGCTCTGGTTTTGTACTCTTCTGTGTCCCTGCACAAGCCATCAATGCCCCCCAGTATGGCAAGCTCTCCCAGTCTCAAAGGGAAGACAATAGTGTGCTATTTATGCAACCCAAATCAGAGATGCTTTTTGAAGATTCATTCCTCTAGAGTTGTTCCTTTYGGTAGTTTCTGTGGGGCTAATACCCTATAGGGAGAGGGGGATAACGATGTCTTCATGGCCAAGCTTGTCTCAGAGCCACTCCGAGTCTGGAAGGAGTCTTCTAAAATCAAAGCAGGTAATAACAGARCCACTCTCCAAGGAGATTTATTAGATGCCACTTTTATGTCTTTTAGACCTTGTCAAGCTTAAATATTGCACACTGGTATGCTGCTTTCTATCTGATGCCTTTTGGAGATGTCACTGAGAGATACAGGCTAACTCTTCTCCTATGTAAAGAAAAAGTCCTCTCCATAGGCAGTTTTCAGTGAGAGATTCTCAATTCTGACATTTCCTTATTCCCTTTGCACTGGCTTCTTTCTCTCTTTCGAGATGAACTGCAAGATTTCTTCCTTTCCTAGGTTTTTATGATATTAAAGAGTAGTCAGCTGTGAAAGCTAAGGAAATGCATGAACAACATCCATTCAAGCTGTGGAAGCTTGAGGGGTATTGCATTTTTTTTTCCTTTCATCATCTGTATCACATTTGTGCTGAGAAAACAAAGTGGTATATTTAGAAATCTCAGAAAGTGAGGAGTTTCCTTAGGCACCAGCATTGACAAAAGCTTCTAAAACACCCTTAAATCCTCCACCAGTCCTGCTTGCCTTTCAAAATAAGGCATTTCTCCAGCACCACCTTGTGCCACGTCGTGGTCATTGCAATCTAATCGTGAGGGATTTGCGTGCAGAATTTCCATTACCCCTGCAGAGTCTTTGGTGTGTCCTTGGGAACATGAGGATGATTTAGTATTGGGACAGCAAAGTATGTGTCTCCTCTTGGAGAGAGGAAAGAAAAGAAAAGCCACCTAATAGCATTTATGGGCACGGGCGCCCTCTGATTTCTCAACCAGAAGGGAGACTTTTTTTCTGGGAGTTYCTAGCAAAGAGCAGCATGGTGGCCAGGGGGTTCTGCTAAATGGAGCTTTAACATCTGTGCGTGATCCAGATTCAGAAAAACAGCTTTTTATCCGGGGTTTGAAGAGTCTACTCTTGCTCTTGAAAGAAATTTGGATTGGAAACTCAAGGTTTCCAATGACAGGCCAGGTGTGACTGACAGAGCCTATGCTTATTTATTGCTAGAATATCTTTGGAAACACCTCCAACATCTCCTACTGTATGCTTTTTAAATATGTATTTATATGAACAAGTCTCCTTTTTTTATATTAGGTTAGTTTTTCATTGTATTTCTAAAAATCATCCCATATACTATAAGTGTGATAAAGAAGTAGGAGCGTTTATGGTGATGTGGGGAGTAGAAGACCAAGCAGGAAGCATTTTTGGCTTTCTCCATCACTCTTCTCTCATCCTTCTTGGGGATGAAAGTTTCCATAGCTCAGCTTGCAAATTTTTATGGAGCTTTTTGTTGAGTGGCTTCATTTACCTGTCTGTATTTATATAGACATCTGCACTTGTACAGAATCTTTATTTGGGTTAAGAGTGCAGTAGAGGTTGGCTAAGTTGGTATTTTAGGGAAAGAAAAGTGAAAGACTTGTTGCTAACATGGCTGAGCACAGACTTCTTAGGCATCTCTTGCAATATGTGAGGTGGCCTTAAGGCCTGCCGTGTTTAAGGAGATTTGTTTGCCCATCAGGAAACACCAGAGCAGGTGGGTGTGTGAAGGACACGCTCCTGAGGACAAGGCTCCTTTGATGATGGTTGGCAGCTATCGGACGTGCTCCTCACCAGCAGAACATAGCAGGACATTGACATGGGAGACCAGGTCTATCAGGACARTGGGTGACCCCCCAAGGTGCTGTGACTCTCCTTTTGGAGTCACGGAGCAGCCAGATGGAAATATCCATTGCCTGGAGAGGATGGGGAGGAGATTGGCCCCGTGGGCATTAGCGGAGGACACCGGAGCCGTTACTTCCTCCTTGAATGTTCATCCATAGCCTTCGGGACATAACGTCCTGGAAGACAGAGTGCTCTTYCTCACGGGCGACCCTCTGCCATCACAAAGGCTTTCTAGATCACAATTAGGAACTAGGAAGTAATTGGAAAACTAGCAAACTAAGCTAGAAGGAAATTAGAAAACTAACTAGAAAACTAAATTGGAGAAAATTCATCTGCACATGTGCCACGGTGAATCTACAAACCAGGTCTTTGCAGTCCGTGGCCAGCATGGCCATCCTCCTTGTGTCCCCCCTCACCAAGCTCCTTCCTCTGTCACTCGGGATGTCACCTTCTGCCAGGCTAGCTGAGCAGCAGGGTGCTCGTTTCGCTCCGAGGTGGGTGGCTGCAATGAAGAGCTGAGTAACTCAGCAGCCTCAAACGGAAGAGAATGATTCACAGCACAGTGCATGGATTTCAAAAGCAACGTACCTGAAATTTTAATGGAGAGGGGGAAGGAGCCTTAAGGACTCCAGTTTTAAACCAGCAAACCTTGCATAAAATATAGTTGAAAGGGCTTARAGGAATGAGGAGAGAGAGCAACCACAGTTAAGCAAGCATGATTTGGAGCTGCTCAATTAGTTGCCATTTGTGTGTTCACTTCTGAGGCTGGAATATTGTGTAAACAACAGGCAGAGCCCCAGTCTGCATTTTATGTTATTCACTCACAAACCTGCCTTGCTGCTAAACCACAAGCTAGCTTTTCTGCCAGATGAAAGCTGGTGGGAGCGTGTGTGCTTTTCCTGGAAGGCTCTGGACCAAATTCAGTSATAATCCAAGCACCTGTACAAATGCAGAAGCAGAGCAGGATACCAGAAATGGATTTAGCGTTTGGAGGGAAGGCAAAATGAAGGAACGTGCCAAAACACTCAAAGAGAGCACATGAGAAGTGTAACAAGTGAGCCCAGAGCCCTGCACCTTAATGAGAGAAGTAACTATTGCATGCACKGAAGAAGTGATCCCCATTATGTCAGCATGCAGATGTATTCTTGAGAGMAAATATGGTATTTTTGTCACTGCGCCACTCCTAAAATTTCTTTCGGCAACCTACCCTCAGTGGCTTTATTTTGGACCGTACAGGATCACCGCTGCTCCCTGCTTCCTGGGTTGTGTGGTAATAACAGTAACTCCCAAAGATAATTGTGTGTCAGTCAGTGCTTCTGAGTCACAAAAACCCCTGTGTGAATATTCCCTTGTGTGGATTTGCAGGCTAATTAAACACTAAGTGTTGTGCTGTCTGTTTAATGCTGGTCACTCTTGCCTAAGAGATGTGAAGAACATAGGGATTCCTTTCCCCAAAAAAGGAATTTGGAAGTAATAAAGAGCAGAAAAAGTGGAAAATAAAGAGATAAAAGGAAACTGCAGGGTAAACAGTTGTTTGTAATACCTAGCTCCCAACAGAAGCGACTGCATGATTAAAGAATTATTTTTAGTAATATTGGAATTTGTGAGTAAGTTTCAAGAGCAAGAGGTGAGATTTTTGTTGATTCTCGGTAGCATTCCAGTCCCCAAATCCTCTCGTTGATTYGTGCTGCATCCTTGCTTTAGATACCAAATTGCCTCGCCATCGGTCTCTTGGAGCCATTACCCTGGAATCCAGGTTGCATTCTGGCCTTTTTTGGGGAAGAGATGGGTACTTTGTTTTACAGGATAATACGTGGAAGTAAGAGGGCGGGGTTGTCCGCTGTAGATGTCTTTGGCAAGGCYGCCCAAATTCATTTAATCTCTAAAGACAGTCGTTAACGTCCAATATTCTCTGATCAGTCCGTGTTGTCACCATCTCGGATTGCACAGCCTTAAATCTACACTGAGCGTTTTGGGTGGGAGTCTGTATAAACACAAYACAACCTGCTTTACAGTAGAAGCAAAAGGGAGGATTACCATTGTTTTTCCACAGAATGCTGAAGTTTTGGCCTTTGTCTTTCTTATGGAGTAAACTCTCAACTTGTGAGCAGTTGGGCCATCGGCTGCAGCACCTCCAGATCATCAGCAGCAGTAAGAAGGCTCAAAACCAGACCCAACTGATGAGGTAAGGAGTGCAGAGACGGACAGTTGCTCTAACCCTGTCTCCTTCTGGAGCCTTCATTATCTATGCAACTAATTTCTACTCTAGCTGCCAATTTCTACTCTAGCTGCCACTTCCGTGACTAGGTGTCGTCAGAGCTTATCTTACATCTGCCACTCGTTATTTTTCCATACTGGATGTCTAGGTCATTGAGATTATCCCCGTAGAGTGACTTGGGATGTTTTCTACCTCACTCTGTTCCCAACTCTAATCTTGCACTTGTTCTGCAGAACACTCCTGCTCCTGCCCTGGTTCGGTTATGGAGCTCTGGGCGCTGTTTTATGTTGCTGAGCTCCTTCCTTTGCACTCACAGTCCTCCTTATGCTATGATCATGGGAAGTGARGTGGCTCCTTTTGGAGCCAGAGGTTCAGGAAACCCAAACCAAGGCTGCTGTGCCCACCACAAGGCTCCCCGGGTGGCCTGGCTAGCACGGCAGCACAGCAGAGTCTTCAGCTGCATCACGCTGCATTGACTTGCTCTCTCAGCTCTCTGCTACTTGGCTGGTCTTTACCCTGCACACTGGTTTATGCTGCAGATATGTCTTCTGCTGGATACTGCCCTAGRCTGGGGAACAGGACTGGGATACTGCCCAGGGAAAGCTGTCACTGCCCTGTATGYGTAGTGCGTTCCCGTCACTGCTCTCACAAGCTCAGTGCTTCCACAGCTGTTGCCATTGCTAGCCACTAACTTAACATTAGTGGCATGTAATGTAAGAGCAGAAGGGTTTGTACACCACTGCAAAAGTGTCTTTTCAGAGAATCTGTGACTGTTTCAGAGAATCTTCCTGCCACTAACTGAAGATCAGAGATTCAACAGTAGTAACAAAATCAGTGCAACAGAAAAAGCAAATGTGCCGCCCAGTAAGTAAAAGAGGGAGAGGGAGAGATCAGAGACAAACATTGAATACCTTTGTGGCAGTTATGTAGTGAGTCTTCCTCTGTGTGTCCTCTGATCCTGCAAAAAGAGATTCCCAAAGAATATTTAAAATAGATCAGTGCAGTTCACTAGCCCTTGTGGATATGTTCCTTAACCCAGAAACACTATTTATTACCTTGATGAGTGGTGCAGCCAAAGCATACCCCTTGGAGAGCCAGCAGGTCTCAGTGCAACGTTCATCTTGAGTGCTGGAGCCCTTAGGATTGCTAAATCCCCACTGAGGAGTTAAACTTTGTCCAACTGGCTCTTTGTAGCTTCAGTGTCTCTGTTCACTCCCTCCACTGAAGCAGTACTTTATAGTAGCAGGCTCCAAGTGGCCCAGTGTTTGGCTGCAGAATTAGCAGTGAAAGTCAAAAGATCTATATGAAACTTCTCTTAAATAAGTTGTCCTTTGCCCCTGCAAGTAAAAGAGGTTACAGAAGTGAAGCCAATAGCATTACTGAAACCTTGAACAAGGTCCTTTTGCTTTAACGTTGTTTCTCTTTATCCTGCTTGCAGGAAAGCCAACATCTTTGTGTCGCTGCTGATTGATGTGGCTCTGGGGATCCTGCTGATGTCCTGGCTGTACAGAAAGAGCCGGATTGGTCACCTTGCTGATACTCTTATCCCCGTGGCTGATGTGAGTCTCAACAGAGCGTTTCTTCTTTTGCCTGCCATGCATGGTGACCAGCTCTTGGTACATAAGGTAGTTTCAAGCAGTTAGTGCCTTGCGTCGAAGAATTCCAGAGTGCCTTATCTCAAGTCAGGAAAATCAGGATTCCTCAAAAACGGTGAAATATTCAGCTCAAACCTACTCAGGTTCCTCAGAAAGAGCACAGTTCTGCTCTGAGTGGGTAGTGAATAGTAATCAGAAACATCCTGAAGGACTGTTCCAGCTCCCAAAGTAGCCAGAATGTCTTGGGCACAACCATGCAGCAGCAAACCAGCCATTGCCAAGCCGGAGGATTTTATTCTGGAGCTGACAGGAAGTGTCCTTAAGTTACACGGAAAAAAAGAAGACAGTGCCTTGGGTTGAGTCTAATAAGCTGCTGGAAAAACAGACTTGACAAGCAGTGCAGCTATTCTTGAGAAGATGAGTTTCATGGGGCCATAAAGGCCATGCCTAGTCAGGAAGCAAAACCCTGAAGGTCTTTCTAAGTACTCTGGTGTGCAAGTGGTAGACAAGGGAGAGTTGCTGTGTCCTGTACTTCTCTCGAACTTCAGCTCTCCATGCTCCCTAAGAACCCTCAGCATAAATTCACAAAGAACAAGTATGATTCATAATACTCTGATTTTCTGCTGGCTCATTTTAAGCATATCACTCTAATATGTCTGTTCAGTGGTGTTTAAGAGAATAAAATGTACTTCTGAGGCTGGAGACCAGACCTTTAATCTGAAGTTCACTCCTGGGAGTACATGTGCAGCCAGTGTTGAACACTGTCCTGCCCCTCCACAGCCTGCTCCCTCCTTTGCCCACTTGCCTTTCATTGCAGGGAATAAAGTTCATCTTTCCACTGGTTTCTTTCTAGCAGCTGGATGTCCTCTGTGTGCTCTTTCTCCAGCTTCTCAGTTGAGAGGAATTTGAGTGTGGAATTCCAGCAACAATATATTTTCTCCTGCTCACGTTGTCTTTCTTGGGAAGAGATGAGTTCCCCTGCTGAGGATCTACTTGGTCCATGTCTAACATTTTCAGAGTCACAGCCATATGTCTGTAATCATTCCTGCACATGCTCTGCTTTCACAAAGTGTGCAGAGTAGCCAGCATAGCAGTGGATCATCATTATTACTATTTTTGTTGTCTTTTCTAGGGAAACTTATACGGATGGCATGTTTCAAACATTCTCTTCAGCAACAGTGTTTTAAAAAAAAAAGACTACAATACTTGAAGTACAATTGATCTTGTAGTTTTTGAGCTATAAATTAAAAATCTGGTAAGCCTTATTTCTAAGTCTTTTCCCTTACAGGTATTTCAGCTGGAAAAGTTTAAGTTAAGTTAAGAAAAGTTAAGTTAAGGGTTCTCCCTCAAGGACTACTGTAAGGGTCTAGTGCTCAGGAATCGGATTTCTTAACCAATCTGCAAGGAAGTGGCTTTTGGCCCAAGTCCTGTTCTCACAGGTGGCTCCAGGAAGCGTTCCATCTGCCCGCTGTCTTTGGCAGATGSCTGCTCTCTTTGCTCAAGGTGCTTCTGATCACAGCACCTGTCCTGGGTGGGCTCACCCATGAGAGCAGCTCGTTCACTCCTCACTCCACTTGCACACCACAGTATCATTTATTTCCACCAGGTCTCCTAGATGGGCATATTTCAGGATCACCAAAAGCTGGAAGCATTAACTCCCGCTGCCGTGGGTGACCTGGCATTCAGCTTGCACCTCTTTATTCTCTSTAATTTCTCCAAGCTTGCTGGTTCAGGACATTTACAATTCCTCTCATTTGCCAGCCTCACTTGCTTCTTTTAAGAGTACGAGATTGTAGACAAAAAGACATTTGGAGTCCTTTTACTACCTTCAGCGCTCAGTGATTTTTGTGTATTTCAAGCCTGTAAAAATACAGAATGGAGAGATCCCAAAATATACCCATGACTTCAGCATGGGCCGTGCAAGCCAGCATTGCTCTGTTTTCCAGTGTGACAGCGACATCTCCTTTTAGCCATTCGACAGGAGGTTTCCACTTTGCTGCTGAATCTCCATCTGGTACACAGTGTTGCCATCACTTGAGCTTTCTCAAGTGCTTTTGCATTGCCAAGTTCAGGAAATTCAGACTTTCCCATATGCAGCAGGAGTGGCACTCCCTTCCCTAGTCCTCCTTGCTCTCCTGTTTCCAATAAGCACCCCAGTCTGATGGTGAAATTTAACTGCTTCCATCGGTGTAACTGTTAGTAAATAAAACATTATGGATGTAAAAACTTTACAGATTTGCTTGCTTGATGTTTAGATTGACAGACTTTGACCGACGTGGAAGTGTGGGGGCTAGATGCAGTGCATAATTAATGTGCCTTCTTCCGGCAGTTCCAAACTTGCACTTCTAGAGGTCCCATCGGGTACCCGTTYCTGTATGGTTTTGCTTTGGTTTTGCACGTTAGCTGGAATCCAGCTGCCAAACTGTCACTTAAACATCTTTTGCTGCGCCTCCCCCTGCCAGTCAAGCATCTCTCTGGAGAGAAACAGGAGCAGGTTAAATTATTCTAACCCTTGACAACCTCCCAGGGTCACAAGCTCCATCTGCTTCCATGAGGATCAGGCCATGTCCCTTGTCTGGCACTCGGCATCCGCTGATATCGGAGTTCCCAAGTCAGCASGGAGCCCACGTTTGTTGACGATGCACAAGACGTCATGGGCTGCGGCTCCCGCTTTCCCTGCTCCGTGAGCTGTGCTGACTGCCAAAGCAGGTTGCCTTTGCCAGTATGTGGAGCAGATGTGATTCAGAGACACCTGGGGAGTAGCTGCATGCAATACCAAGGACTTATTTTTAAGCAGGCTTTCAAAACCAAGCATGAAAAATGTGAATAATCTCTGTAGGTGCCCTCCCTCACAACTCCTACCTTCCTCCTGCTCCCTCCAGGCTTCCAACGATAGCGCTTGTTTTTGTTCCCATTGAGACCAAACCAACCAAMCAAACGGGCTACATTTTTCTCTTTTGAAAAGAACTGTTCATAAGTCATCTTTTTTTCCTTTAACCTCTTGCATTTTGACTGTTTTCTCCTTAGTCTGTAGTATCTTTGGAGCAGTAACACAGCTCATGCCTCCCAAAGTGTTCCTGGGACTTAGATGGATGCAGGATCCTATTCAGTCCTCTTCTGGTAATCAGGAAACCCAGCAGAGAGAACAATTCCTGGAAAATATTCTTRCCTGTCATTTGTAAAGTAGGGAAACACAGAGCCTCAAACACCTTCAACGGGCACAGGGTGATGGTGTATGGAAAGAAGGACTTTTTGGTTTTGACTCTAACTAGAGCATGTGCACAAATATTCTGTTCCTTTATATTGTTCTGTGCAGTTTAGCCCTATATCTTGCGATATGAAGCAACCTTTCTGTAAAAACATACAGAAAAAAAAAAAGTGAACAGCAGAACAGAACAGGTAATTTAGAGTGGGAGACCTGTGTGTCTTTCACTTTGGATATTGCCTCACCACCGGAGACTCGGCATACGAGGTCCAGCAAGTAGACTGTGTCTATACAAAAAATGTCCCCACAGTGGCCTAGTCTAAACCACAGGAGTTGCAGTATCTGGGTTGGTCGTGTTCCTACAGGCTCTGAATGAAACAACTTCCATGAAATACACTGTATCCTGTTCATTACTATTAGATATATTCAGTGATCATGACTGCAGTGAGGATTTTGCCTCCTAGCCACCTTCTCTGGTTCTGCYCTTGATCAGTATAATGGGAAAACAACCTGCAATGTTATGACCTTGTTTTGAAAAGCTTTGCCCAGCTAAGCTTTACTTAAGCTTACCTAAGCTAACGCTTACCTAATGCACCTTCCCAAAGCTGCAATGCCCTGTCAGACATTAGCAGCACCTCTGGAATTGGAAATCTCAGAAACACTCAGTCTTGGAAACTTGCCTTGCTGAAAGACTACTTTCAAGCATTTAAATATTTCATTAAAATCTCCAAATGCTTTTTTGAAGTTATAACCCTAACACTTTAAATATTTAAAGCAGTCTATATTTATAAAGTGGCTAACGCTTCTTTCTTGGCAACAAGGGTAAGATCCGTGAGTTCAAGCCAGTTCTTAGTGGCACTAAATACTTTATGGATTGTTGAGACAGAGGGAAAGTGCATGAAAGACTAAAAGAGACTTGCTGTTAGTTGACTTTTTGGTCAACCTGAAGATGGAGCACGTAATTTCACCACTACATTAAAAGTGCATATTTACAAATTCATTTTACAATGGCTATGTTAACTAATCCATAAAAGGGAATCATTATTTGGAAATAATTTGCCTACAGAGTAATTATGTGTAAATATGTGGGGGAAAGTAGGCTGCAGTGCATTAGTTTCAGGTAGCACATCTTGATTCTTCTGCACACAGTGTTCATTGCAACTCGCATGCACGGCTTTGGTTATGACTAAAATTTTCCGAGGTTGAAGGTGTTCGCTCACACACTCAAGCTGCTAATGCAAAGTTCCAAGAGGCCACTTCTCCTGGGTTGACCACCCTTTTGTTGGGGACCACCACTCTCCGCTTTCTGAAAGGGTCTGCTGGATGGAGTCTCCATTGATTGTTGCCTACAGGAAGAGGTCCCGCCGCTAAGTGCTCAAGTTGATGAGCAGAGCTCCTCTTCTGCCTTGCCTGCTTCAAGGRGGACGTTTGACAGCAGGATGGGATGGGGAGTTAAAATCAATAAAAAAAAAAAAAAATCAGCCCAGGATTAAATCACCAGAAATTGTGAGTCAAAACTCTCAGTGCCTTGGGTAGAGAACTCACTCGAGCTTTGTCCTCAGTGATTCAGAGGGCTACATTTTTACAAAAATCTAAATGGGCATCTCCCCCAGAAGGCCACGATAGAGACAAGATAGCAGCCAAGACAGAGACAAGATGGAGCCGAGCAAAATCAGCACACTACACCACAGTTAGTCTTGCCTAACAGACCTCAGACTATAAACAACGTTAGTCTATGCATCAAGTATGCTTATATAATTATGTTTTCAACCCTGGTGTAAACATACAGGTTATTTGGTGTAAAAATTCACCATTCCTGGCCCAGGGTGCACCATCCTCTTGCCCTTCCAARCTCCTGAGGGTCTTCTCCATGGTTAGATTGCTCCCTCGGTTTTGAGCATTGAGTTGGCTGTTTAATGCCATTAGTTTGTGCACTTGCACCTGCCCATCTCTTGATAGAAGTCCTAATATTTCAAGAAGTCATACTGTGCAAGTCTACCAGAGGGGCMAGAAACCAACTCTAGGTTCCATGTTTCCAGCACTGAGAACATTTAAACAGCTCAGCTGCTTCTTGTGCTTTTTGCCCATAGTCATTTGCCCATAAAGATGCCTTTATGATTTAGCTAGTTGTCTAAAAAATCACTYTTTCCATGCATGCTTTTTTCCCCATGGGTTTTTAGGGTGCAGGGAGGTGGGATAGCAGTTCRCTACACAGGACCTATTCAATGTGATACATCTTTAATCTCATCTCCTTGCTTGTAGCATATAGCTAAAGAGCTCCAAGACCTACTGCAGTGGCTAATGGGAGCACCAGCTGGCCTGAAAATGAACCGAGCTTTGGATCAGGTTTTGGGTCGTTTCTTCCTGTACCACATCCATCTTTGGATTAGTAAGTGCAACAGTTTTACTTCTCTGCCTCCCCTTTCATCTCTTCCCGAGGATTTCATGTTTGCCTCGAGGTAAAAACCTAATCAAAGTGCACTCCTGCAAGTGCATACTTGTCTTTCTGCTCTGGGAACTTMAGCTACGCTTGGATTCCCACACAGGAAAGTTGTGCATATTGAAAAAAGAGCTCATCTTGATGCTTGGCAAATAGTGCAAGTCACAGCAGAACTTTCTTTTTGATGCCATTGGTGGTTAGTGTCCAAGGAAAATTTTAGTTCTTATGTTGGCTTTTGTAGTCTTTGCCCTGTAAGAGGTAGTTGGTAGGACAGGGATGGGAAGTGTTATCTCAGGACATAAATGCAGACCCTCTCCTGGGATGTTGTTTCAGTGAAGGTTGCCTTGTGCATTTAAAATGGAATTATGAACCTGGACAGAAACCCAGAAAAAATAAATCACATGTAGAGGATGGTGATTCCTCTGCTCAAATTGAGCATGTTCCTCTCTTCCTCACAGAGTGGCCACAGCTGGACAGAGACCTAGAAGAGGTTCTGTGGACTGTCCTAAGTAGAAAATGGCCATCTGAAAGAATTTGCTGGGTTTACTTCYATGTTGTCTTAGTGATGATCTCCGGAGTGATATTCTGGGGCAGGGACGTGGAGGAATTCCAGCAGGAAGATGTTGCAGACAGATGTCCTCTCCTTACTCTCACTCTCTGTGATCTTCACTAGGCTACATTCACCTGATGTCTCCATTCATTGAGATGATCCTCTGGTACGTTGGTCTGTCGGCTTGTCTGGGCCTTACTGTGGCTCTTTGCATCCTCTCCGACATCATTGCTCTTCTGACCTTCCACATCTACTGCTTCTACGTCTATGGAGCCAGGTGAGTTGATTTCTCTCATTTGTATCTTAGGTATGCTTGGAGAGAAGCGCTAGCACTTGTGTGCAGGGCATATCTTTAAGTTGTGGAGCAGCTAACAGCTCTCTGCTTTGGCAGATATTTACTGCTATTGCTGCCAAAGCCTCTTACTGAACCAGATGGACTCTCATCGTACAGAAGTASTAGGTAAAAGCAGGTATCTGGGATAGCTGGGCCCTGGTGGCTTGATTTCACAGAATCACAGAATCTTAAAGGTTGGAAGGGACCTCTAGTGATCATCTAGTCCAACCTTCCYGCTCAAGCAGGGACACCTAGGGCACGGGGCACAGRGYGGCATCCAGGCGGGTTTTGRAGACCTCCAGRGAAGGAGACTCCACAGCCTCCCTGGGCAGCCWGTGCCAGGGCTCTGTCACCCTCACAGCAAAGAAGTTCCTCCTCCCCTGGAGAGGGAACTTCCTGTGTTTGATTTCTCACCAAAGAACCACAAAACCTACACCTTCATATATCAAATCTGTGGGTTATTCATTCATCTTATTCCAGACCCAGATGTCATATGGGTACATTCATTCCTAGTGTAGCATTTTTTTTTAACTTGACAGTTTAACCTAAAAATGAATTGTTATATTCTTCTATGCAAGTAGAACTGACGACCACTGCAGTACAAGCAGCCTAGCTCCCAATTCGCTTGCATTTAATACTACTTATTGTAGTAAAGATCTGGAAAACATAAAGCCACCTAGGAGGTAGAGTGCACCAAAGTAGTTCATGCCTTGCCTTTGAGTTCCTCATTGCAGTTGTGCCCTACGCAGTAGTTTTGAGGGAAATTGAAGGAGTGGAGGAAGAAATGTGAACCCTTGAACTTCTGGAGAAGCCCAGGCCCTGACTGTGCCCTGCTTTAGAGCTTCTGTCTGCACTTTGGAGCCCATCTGACAGGTTTGGGGCTGCAGCACAGCTGCGGCGCCTTCCCCACATCATTGTCCAGACGGATTGAAGGGCCTCATGGCCTGGGAGCCAGGCAGAAACTCTGAGGGAGGCTGGCAGGAGCTTTGGGGCACGTTTGGGATTACTGTGCAGACAGGGGCAACCTGCTGTGCCTCGTGTCCCCCAAGGAAATTCAGAAAGTGATGCCAGTGGCTCTCATCCCCCCAGAAAAACACAACACCTTGTATTTGTGCAGCTGGCAGGAGAACTTATTGCTTTGAAGGGACGGTGAACTCCGGGATCCTCTTCTGAAACTAGCCACACAGTGAAATGAAAGTGGGCATGTGTGTGCAGGTAGCCAGCAAGGGTGCTACATCAGACACACAGGCTTGATCTTCTGCCTCAGGGCAGGGGACGCAGGCAGGAGCAACCTCAGTGTGAGCCACGAGGCAGCTGGTGGCACCAGCCTGAAGTTGTTGTCCTGGGCGCCCACTTACCCCAGAGATCAGGGCACCGACCTCTGCCTGCCAGACCTTTGGGGGCATCCTGCCAATCCCTTGAGGCATTTAGTGCTCCTCAGGCTAGATGACTGTCTCCGATAGTGCTCCTTGCTTCTGCTTTCGCTGTGCTGTCTTGAAGTTTCAGCAGCTGCTGCTCATTAGCTAGGCTAATTTAACAGTGTCCCTTTTGAAGGCTCTTTTCTGTCTCTCAGTTGACCTGTGTCCCTCTTCTTGACATCATTTCTGCTGGAGGTTGCTGCCCTGGATTCTTTGTGTCTCTGCTCTGTTTTAGTGGCTCTTTTCTGCTCTGTCAGGTTATTTTGGGGGTGTCTTTATCTCACCTCTTTTAACTCCAAGCTTCTCCCACTGCTGCCATTTTTCCATGAGGCAAATAGCTTCCAGTGTTGTAACACCACCGTGCTGAAGCCTGATGATGAAAGGATGCCATAGGGGAGCCCCCATCCATTTGGTTGGTCTCTTCCCGCTTTTGCAGATGTCTCAAGCTGTGCTTTATTAAAACAGTTACCAGGAATTCCTGCCCTTTCATTTTTAGTCTTTTGCCTCTCCGTGCTACATAGGCAAAATTGAATTGCATTGATGCCAATGAACGGGGCAGAGCTTTGGCTGCCGCTGCAATGCAAAGGGAATCAAGTGAGGGGAACAGGAGAGTATAACCTGGAGAGAGGAAGGTGAGCTCTGGGAAGTAAACATGTTTGCTGCAGTTGAGCTGATGGCAGGAGACTGGCGATTGCTCCTGCTCCTCCCAGCAGAATTTGCCGTTCCCCAGGCGCCACCACCATCATCAACAGCAGGAGATAATCCTGCAATCCAGAGCTCTGTCAGAGCCAGGCACACTGACATGACTCTTGCCCGCTGTGGATCCATAGCTTCCAGCAATAGCCAGCTTTGCCCGTGCCCAGGGACTGYCCCTCCAGCTGACTGAGCAGTTGTTAGTGTTTTATCTGTGTCCCTCTTGTGTTGCTTTCTTTTCCCTCCCTGAGTTGGGTGGCATCAGCAGGTCAGTGGAGGCCTGCGTGATAATGATGATGATGATGATGGTGATGGCTGTTTTGTGTTGAAGCTCGGGAGCTCACAGCTCTAATTCACAGTGTCATCTCTTTACTCAGGCTCTACTGCCTGAAAGTTTATGGGCTCTCGTCTCTTTGGCGCTTGTTCCGTGGGAAGAAGTGGAACGTCCTCAGGCAGCGGGTGGATTCCTGCTCCTATGACTTGGACCAGGTAGTGCTGCGGGGCCGGGGCTGCGCTGCCAGGACACACTGCTTGCAGGTGGCCTTTTACCCCAAACACGGGCACATGAACCCGGGGAAGCTCTGCAGTGCCCGGGGAAGGGGCACACCTCCACCCCAGACAAATCCTTGGGCACCGTTGCCCTACAGCACTGCTCTGCATGYTCAGGGGACCTGCTCCTTGCAGGCRCTGAGCATCTGCACGGAAAGTTGGGAATTTCCATGGGTGCTGCAGATGCTTGTACCTCTCAGAGACCARGAGGGAGATTATGGGGGAGGGAGGCAAGTTAAGAAGTGATGTTCAGGAGYGTTGCCATAGTTACAGACTTCCTATAGTTCCTGCTAAAAGGCCCCCTTTAATTTGTGTTGCTCTGGAGCCCACACATTTTCACTGCAATGGCAAATGCCAGGGTGGGTTTTTTTTTAATGAAAGAGTGTAAGCTGTTTTTCAGTTCTGAAATTCCACGGAATTTCAGAATTCCAAGGCCTGCTCTTGCGAACACGGCTGGAATGTCTCCGAGGGAAAAATCATGATCGCGTTTCCATCTTTGCTTGTTATTTTACAGCTGTAGGTGACTTTTGCTGGAAACTGTAGACGCCGTGATAAATGCATGCAGAGGCTCACCTGGCTCATCTCTGCATCCACCCTTGCAGCCTCGCTTGCCGTGCTGCCTGGTGGCTTCCAGGGCCCGTGCCTCTCCCTCGGTCGCAGTGTTACACTCTGAAGCCTCTGGCACTGCACACGGAGAGCTGTTTTTCTCCTTCCCTACTGATGGAAAAGTCAGAGCCTCTGTGGCAGGGCAACAATTTACGTCAGCCTTCTGTCCCTGTGTGCTTGGGGAAGAATTAGGTTGGCACTTCAAGCTTCATCCTGCTGCTGTGGAGGCCAGAGGGAGTTTTGTTATTGGCCTGGGTGGGAAGAGACGTTCAGAGCAGACCGTAAAAGACTTGCAGAGATGCTAAGCAACAGCAGCAGTGACGGAGGAGGGGACAAGCAACTGCTGGMAATAGAGCTCATGGCAGCTGCTTTCCTATGGATTTTTCGCCTTGCTCACCTCAATATTGCCCCCCTTTGCCTCAATGACCTCAGCTTCTTTCCGTCTCCCTCAACCCTGTTTCCCATGACAGCCCCACTGACAAAGGGGAAAGGTCCGTGCCTGCTCCGGAGCTGCCAGCTCCTGCCCCTGGGAGCCATTACTGACCAGCTCCTGTCATCGTTGCCCTACAAGCACGCACAGATTTGGGTCTTGTGCCTTTCCCCAGTTGCCAGTTCCATTAAAACACTGCAGGAAAATAAAAAAGCCTTCTCAAATTTCTGCAGAACAACCTAACAATTTTTTACTTCTATTTATCCTTCCATCTCTTTCAAGGTAAAGTCTGGCCAGTGGCTTTGCAGCTCATAGTGGTAGGGGATGGACAGACAGCATGATCACATAAGCCTTTTTTCTTAAGGAAGTTGGCCCAGAGTTGGAAATCCTGAATACTGGTAGCAGGGAGCTTTCTAAGAAGGCAAGTGAGAGAAGMAGCTCTGAAAATATTCCAGATATTCCAAGTTATTCATATAAGGAGTAAGAAGARTGTCAACACTTACTATTCTTTTATTTTATTCCTTTTTTTTTTTTTTTTGCCATTGCTCTGCTAATGATCATGTTTCTTTTTCCCCTAGTTATTTATCGGCACCCTGCTGTTCACAATCCTGCTGTTCCTTTTGCCTACAACTGCCCTGTATTATTTGGTGTTTACCCTGGTAAGATGTAACCCTTAAAGCCAGTCACCTATGGTCTTCACAGATATTAAAAAAGAGGATTCCTAGGCATTTACTGTCAGCCATAAAGAAAATACAATATTTGTCTGAGTGCCACAAGAGGGGTTGTCACACAGCTTTACATGGATCAGGTAAATGGAGTTCAGGAGAGAGAGTTGTGTGTCTCCAAAGGGGTTTTCCTGCAAACCARCGTCAGCAGGACACCACTGAAAAGCCATTTTTAATCTTTCCCTCCTGCACCTGCTGTTACGGCCCCTGCCGTCTGATCCAGAACTTTTCCTTCTAAAAATTAACCTTCCGTGTTAAATGTTTCCAGCCAGGCTTTGCTAAGAGGGTTGGACTTTTTCTTTCTAGAAGGAGGGTAAGAAGAGAGTAAATTCTCTTTCTAGAATTTACTAGAAATAGAAGCCATTTAGCCTGTGACCAATGAAAGTAGAATACAGTTGTGCCTTTTGGGGTCATAGCATCTAAAAGAATGGGTACTTCATTATGGTTACAACCTTAGGCTAAGATTGTCAAGGACCTCATGCGGTGGCAGGATGTCCCACACAACACAAACCCACTTCGGAAGGTTTTAGCTTAGCACGCAAACATGCCAGGTTGCAGAACAATTTGTGATGTTGCAGATGTTGGGCCTCCCATTTCTCTGAGACTTGTCTATTAAACTGTTTCTCTGCAGCTCCGTTTGCTGGTGGTGGTTGTGCAAGGCTTGATACACTTGCTAGTTGACCTGATCGACTCYCTGCCTCTCTATTCAATCATCCTTCGGTTCTGCAGATCCTACAGACTTGCAGGTAAGTCCTTCAGTGCTGCTCAGGCAGAAATTCAGGGATTTTGAATTATGCATTTCATGTGGATTACTTGAACTGGTACAGGAGACACTTCTGAACAGAAAGACTCGGGAGATCAGAGAGCTGAGGTCCCAGGTCYGTAGCTCCAGTTCTGCTGTTGGCTAACTGGTCACACTAAGGAGCAGGATAAGGATGTCTGTGGAAGAAGACTGATGCTGAAGGGCTCTGGATAGGCTTCATATAATCACTCACTTTTTCACATCAACCTATCACCAATTTGAAACTACTCATTTTTATTCCATTTCTAATAAACTGATGAGTATCAGAGTAAAATATGGCTTGGAAATATCTGAAAACAGCTATGGTTAACCCAGCTAAAATCAAGCAGATCTCAATCATCACATGCCATCCATTTAAAGGGCATGCAGCAGGAAACTTTAAGAACATAASCAAACCAGAGCAGTCATCAGATGCAAAGGAAGCCCGAGACAACTGATAATAGCCTTATCTGTTGGAGCAGTGCCAAAGTTGATGCTGGGACAGCAGAGCTGGGCAGCATTACCGAGTGTGTGGCTTCTCCATGTGTTCCTTCAGCAGGTTCCCGTGAACTTCCTGGCAGAAACTTCTGAACCTGTCAGAGCTGTCTTTGGAGAACAAGAAATGCTGTTGAAGAAAACTGCCCTAGTAAACATCAAGTCCAAGGGAAGAAGGAAATTTTGTTGCCACTGAGAGACATGGAGTCATTTATTCCAGTCAGGATTACTTCTTGGTTTTGTTCAGCTGGCCACGCTCTGCGGGATAGAAAGCTGCAGCCTATGCAGAGTTTTCTGCTCTGTTGAGTTTGTTACCTGATTTACTTTCTTAAGTTGACTRTTTGTTTGCTTCCCTTGAACATTTTAAAAGGGAACAGTGCAATACGACCCCTGCTAAATGGAGAGGCATCTTTGAAAATTTCCCTGGGCTACGTTCCTGGCACGAATCAAAAAGATCCTATTGCACTGGTAACAGAAGGAGCAGATGAATTAGAAAAATCAAAGGACTTTAGAGAATGCACTTCACCTGATGTTCCTAGTGCTTAGTTTTTGCTTCCATTTTCTGCTTCAGAACTTGGATAGGGCATCTTTTGGCTTTATAAGCGTTTTCAGGATGGTCCTACCAATGTGGCTGGATATCATTCCTGTAAGCAAGGTTTGAGTGCAGTGTTTAAGTTCGGTTCAGTCCTGGCAGCCGGCCTCCAAGTTCTTTGGCTCGGCTTCTGAATTCACAGAACAATTCTTCTTGATGAAACTTAGGCCGAGATAGATGAGTAATGATTGGTCCGAATGCCAGAAATACCTGTTTTCCTTGCACATATCTCAACTGACATACTGTCAGCTTTAAAAAACCTCTTGAAACTTCGTTAAAGCTGATGGCCCCCGTGCAAGAAGTCCGTCTGCCCAGCATTAGCTAAAGGGCTGCTGCTGTGGTTAGGAAGGGCACGCTGTGATCTTGATTCCAACCGCTGACGTGCTGCATGATTTTGGTGACGACGGTTCATTTCTCTGACCTTCTCTTTCCTTCTTGCCCCAAACCTATTCCTTTTACAAACCTTGCGACTAGGTTTGTCATCCTCAGTTCTTAGTTCTGTAGCCCCTGGCATGTTGTTGCCTCTGTGGCTGGTGGGAAGTAAATCAGCAGTGAGCACTGGCATGCGAAACAACACAAATGGGCTCAGGTACTGACTTTTTTGTGCCATTGATGTGAATTGTGTGTAGAAAACACACAACCCTAGGCTCTGGAGCTGGCTGGTAATTACAAAGGGTTTATTTAGAGTCCTTCTCTCCTGGAATAATCTGAAATATGAACTTTTTTGCTTTTTCTCTGAAGTGCCTAAAGAGGTCTAAAACTTAAGGTAATCTAAAGGTCATTCCAAATCTGAATTCACTTGCAAACACTCTGTGCGTAGATTTTCTTAGAAGTTTGAGACTCTTGAATAATTGAACAGTCTAAAAGAGGCTGTTAGCTGGGRCTGTAAAAGGGACGTGTGCAGTCGTGACCTCCAAAATAACATTTCCATGGATCATGTACCATAAACTTCAGTGCTCACTTGCTTGTGCCTACAAATCACCTTCCTGAAGAGAAGTTTCTGGAATGACTTGGATGTTTCCTCTTAGCCARAACGCAGAGAGTTTCTCTGTGCAATTATTCCATTCCAGCACGTTTGTGTGAGGAGACCCTAAAGACTGGAACATCTTTTGGAAGCTATTGGGGAAGCTTTTCAGTATAACCCAACAAGAGGCAGATCATTCCCTCCTGTCCGGCACAGAAAAGGCCTTAGGATTTGGGGAGGTGTAGTGTAAGTTAGAGCTCTGCCTGACAAGATAGTTCCCTCTCAGAAGAAAAAATAAACTGTAGAATTAGAATTAATTTAAAATGTAAGGAAAAAGAGTTAAGAAAATTAATGTGTAAAAGACAATTAGCTACTGTATAATTGAGGCCACTACAGATTTATTTCTGTTTCTACTTCTGAGTTATTGTTTGATTTGTGACAGATCACTTCTCTTGCCTTGTCACCTATAGAAAGCAATGGGGGAGCACTCTTGGTTGTTGCAGATATACTGAGTATGGGTTGGAATCATTTCTGTGAAGTGKTTTTTTTTCACTTTTTTAAAGTGTTTTAATCCTAAGTGTCATCTTTCTTTGAAACTTTACATTAAACATTCATGTGTGATATTTCAACCTTGGAATCCAATATCTTTCCTATTCATTTTTGAAGTATTGAGAATGTAACAAGAAGAAGGAATATAAAAGTGAGAGGCTTGATAGGGTGAGTAGTGTGTTAAAAATCTACAAATGGTAGGATTAATAGGCAGTGATGGCTTTGAAATGCTTTTCAAGCCTCTGGTCCAGACGCTCTCTCCTTGTAGTGTGAAAGGGAGAGAGATTTGCAGTATCCACATGAGCATGAATTAAGAGAGTCCTCTGTCTTGTCTTACCATGCAGTTCCCATTCGGTCTGAGGTTTGGGAACCGATACAGATTACTGCCATCCCTCTGSCATGAGCAGTCCTTTCTTTTTGATTTCTTGGCTTGTGCTTTCTTTAGGACTGCGTTTGCAACCTGGAAGTCAAGGGCTACTTTTAATGAAGCTGAGAAAAATGCATCTATTACCATTAAGGTTAAAATTACTGTAGAGAGAATCTGTGCTTCCTATTTAAACACTTTAGGAGTTCACAAATCCAAGAAGTTTAAAACACTCCTCTCTAGGCAAGTGCTTCTCAGCTAACAGAGCTGAACGGCAAATAATGGTGCTTTCCCCTAGCCTAAGTTCAGTTTCCTTGTTCTTTTTATTTTCAGCTGGTGTGAAGTTCAGAGTTCTTGAACAGAAGCAGGGAAAACCTCTTCGGCTCCTTATGCAGGTGAGTCACCAAACAAAGCACAGAGCAAAAGATTAAGGTTTCCTGTGCTTTTGTACCCTTGCATCTCCGTGCTCTTTTGCCAGTTAATAAATGWTTTTTTTTTTTTCTGAAAATAAATGATCGAGTCGGAGCAGTGAAGTTACCCTTTCAGGAGGGTTTGGAAACCCTCCATTTCCTGACTTTGCAGCAATTCTGCCATACAACACAGTTGCTTTCCTTGCTCTTTGCATCCTAGGAGGCTGGTCTGTGAGGCAGTATATAGAGTTGTATAAAGAATGTTTGGACACAGAAGAGTGCCTGGGCAGGAATTAAACACAATTCCCCAGCTCTGCTTTTTGAATCCTGCGGGCAGCTCCGTTTCAGCAGAGGTGGGATTGCCATGGGCCTGGCAAATCAGCCAGCAGCACTTTGTCTCAAGAGGAGTCCCAGCAGCAGATGCCTTGTRGAGCAGAGCTGTAGCGTGCCCTGAGCACACTGTCATCCGCCCTCCTGCACTTAGGTGGGGTTCACCTATAAAAACCACAGTCTGGCTTTCCCCATGCCCAGAAGACTCCATAAAAAGGAAGCTGTGGGCTCCAATGGTGAGGCACAGACACAGCTAAGCAGAACGGAGAAATTGTCCTGGTGTGTGTGTCAGACAAGGTAGAGAGCTTCTCCAAAGGTAAAGCATCAGGATTTAGGTGGAGAGCGGAGGCACTGAATCATATTAGTATGATCAATATTCCTTGGACCAAGAAAGGTCCTTATGCTGTCATCAGCTTATGGACATCAGTCCATAAGGATATCAGTCATGTCCTTAYGAGTCATCAGCTCAAGGGCTGGAAGTGCTTTAGTTGATGTCTCTTTTGGCCTTCTACTCAAATAATAATGAGCAGAGAATCAGTAAAAGGACTTTTTTTTTGCTGGTGAAAATGAAGTACAGGCTTGTGTCAGAACTCCTGCTCAGTATATCACTTTCCACAGGAAATTCTAAAAATCCTCCTTTTTAGTGACCTGCTAGAATTTGTAGGGTACGTGGAAAGAGTTTTTTCCTAAAAATTTCCCTGCAGCTTTCCTCTTGTCTGCTTCCCACACGTCAGCCCTWTGGAGCCATGCCTGGGGGAAGCAAGGTTGAGTATTAGTGTAACGATGCCTACAATGAGCCACAGGTAACTGAAATGTTCACACCTGTCCCCCCCAAGTCCTGCAAACTGATTAGAAATCAACTATACTAATTGTGAGCATCCATATTCAGCTTGTACTTCAGACAAGGGATTATTTTTATTACTTAGATAATGCCTTGCAAAGCAAAGTCCAGACACAGGCAGATGGAGGATGGGATTTCCATCCAAACACTGCTTAAAATTTTCCAGGAAGTCATACATAGTTAGTATTTTCATGAGGATTTAAAATAATTTATTTTGGTACAGAAAAACAGAAATATTTCTGGCAGAGCAGGTCAGCCGAGTGGCAGCCCAGCAAGAGGACGTGTTGTATCTGATTCCTCTGACCTTCTTCTAGAAATGTCGTCTTTCAAAGCAACTGCTTTGAAAAGGGTTAAGCAACAGAGGGAAGGAAAAGGGAACAGCTCCATTATGAAACAAAGGATGTGCCTACTATATCAGGGGATATTAGAGCTTTGAACTACAGAAATTGCATAAAAAGAACTCAGATTGCTACTTCCTCAATAAAACAGTTGCTTTGTGTTTGCCTCTTTCTTTCCTTTTATTACAGAAGAGGTAGAAAAGCATATTTTGCTATAAATAAAACCGAACTAACTGCTTGGTGAATCCCTATGGGACTCGCTTAAGATCTGCTAGTAAGACACTGGCCTAAAGCAAGGCCCTGATGGATATGGTTGTTGTTGAGCTTCCCTCGGCTCATGTGAACTGCTGCCCTGGCTCTTCCTTAATTTCCTAGGGATGCTCCTGGGTACGAGCRCTTTCTTCTTCTGTTTAACAATGTTGTGCCAGGAAACTAATTTGGCAGAGGGCTCCAGGACCACTTCTAATGCCCYGTTTGCTTAATCACCCTTTCCCAAAGCTCGAGCTTTTTAGGCACTCCGTACTCATCCTTCCCCTCTTCAGGAACACCATCTAGCTGAAGCAAACTACTAGTATAAGCAAATTCTCAGAAAGAAAGCCACTCTTCAGGGGACAAAATATTCGACTTTCRACTGAGTAGTGCTTTTTGCTGTGTTTCTTTTTTGTATTTGTTTTTTCCTCCTGTGAATTATGGGGTCTTTCTTCTTCATGCAGCTCTTTSGTTGGTTCCTACGCAGCTGCTAGCAGAGTATGAGCTTCCATTTCTTTCCACTGTCCAAGCTTTCCCTGGCTCTGTATTGAGTTGCCTCCTCACCTTGACATCCCTCAAGCTATTTTCTGAGACTCATCAATTCTTTGTCATCTCTTCACTCTTTTGGTACTGTCTGTTGCTGTGACTCCTTTCATGCCCCCAAATTTCTCCTGGCTCTAGGACTTCAGCCATCTCACTGCCCTGAAGTGCTCCACTAGGAGAACTTCCAGGTTCTCATGTGCTTCTGTTACCTCTTGTCCAGCRGAAATGTCTTCTGCATCTGCTGAAAGAACAGTACAACCTGTTTGTGAGCATAACTAGAGGCCAGGAACTGTGCATAAGCAGAGACTCCRGACATGATTGTTCTTGGGATGGTGATTGAAATCAAACTGAAAGATGTGAACCCATTTTATTACCTCTACTTGAAAATGAGTCTAATAACACTCCTCGCAAGGATGTGTTTCGGGATGCTACAGAAGGCTGAGCAGCTCCAAATAGCTAGAGAGGGTTCCAGGAGAGGCTGATACCATGCAAAGGTTGCATCTGAGTGTGCTTCTCACTAACGTATTTTCACTGCTCATCTTCTCGTAGATCAACCCGCTCTCCTACGGCAGCCTGGTGCAGAGGTACCGGCTGCCAACCTGCAGCTGCTACCCCAAGGATTCCTGGACGTCCCTCTGCAGGAAGCTGTTCTTTGGAGAGTTGATCTACCCCTGGAAGCACAAAGGAGAGAAGCAAGATTAAAGRAAGCCAAGGGACCCAGCAGGAAAAACTTGGATATTGAATCCTAATGCTTGGAGCCAGCAGCTGCTGGATCCCCTTCGTGGGATTTTRGTAATGTGGGAGGGTCTGAGTTTTTAAAGGCAGGTGTTTTTTAACAGTCGTCAACTTGCTCCTTCCCCTACAGTGTGTTTGAAATGACTGGATTTCCAGGCTGYTTCTTGTTCATTCCGTGATGGTCAACCCTAGATTACAAACTGCTGTTCCCAAACAATGTTGCCTGCTGGCAGCATCGGCTAATGATAATTGTTAAAGCAAAAGACTTGGCCCRTCAGTGCCTCTTGGAACCAGCATTTAATGTAAGCAAGGAAGTAGCCTCTACATGCCTTGGTAATTTATATCTTCCCATTTAAATTCATAGGAGCACATTAAAATAGCCCTACGGGCTGTTCAGAACCACAGTGTTGAGGTGCATTCTGCCTCTGGATATTTTGGATCTTTTTTGCTTCGGTATTCAAGCCRGCTGATGAAAACCATGAGGAGAATTGCCTCTTAGCATCCTATACTGAAAACAGTACAGCTGGAGTATCTGGGCTCCTAAGATATTTATTCTTTAACCTCTGGTTGGGCTTGGATTCACTGAGCATGGAAACAACAGGGACTGGATGCCCAGAGACCCGGAATGCTGCACATCTGAGGCTGCAGGAAGCACAGAGGCTCTTTCCTAGGTTTTCCAAAGCAAGTGGTGATTCGGAGGAGCTGAGCCCTCCACTGACACCAGCCCTGGCAGCGCGGCGTGCACAGCCTCCAAGCCCACACTGCTCAAAGGCACCGAAAGCCCAAGGCCCTGCCAAGGCTCAGGGCTTCTCTGCTTGGTCCTGGTGTGGGGCAAACGCCTCTGGAGGCAGCAGCGATGCCRCTTGCTCTGTGGATTGGGCAGGTCTGGGAGGTGTGTGCCCCCCTCCCTCGCAGGGCAGCCCATGCCCGTGTTTCTCATGGCCCGGATCCGAGCCTTGCAGGGTGGTGGCACCTTCTGAAAGCCAAGAAGTTGTTGCAGTTATCTCAGGTGAAGTATTTAAAGCCACTCCTTATCCTGAGGCTGCAGATACGGTTCTCTTAGGAGAATTTTCCTTCTTCAGATACTGCCTCCACAGGACAGCAGGGTTCGGATTTTCYGGGTCCTGCTGTAATGGCCTATTCATCTTGAGGTCCCTTCCTCCTTCGGGCRCGTTATGTGCTCTKGRTCTTGCTCCCATGCACCTCTGTAAYGGTCCRCTCTGTATTTTGTTTATGTGGAGACATSTGCATCCAGTCGAACCCTAGAAGTATGTGTTCTCCAAGTCCACTTGCTCCTCTTGCCTTAGCTTRAACAGGGTTGTGGAATCACCATCATGTTGCTGTTTTGCACCCCGGAAGTGACTGCATTAATTGGCAGGTGAAAATTAGTTAATTGGAGTGCTCCATCCTGCCCCTCTATGCCAGGGTGTAAGTGCATCTTCAAGGAAAGCAAGGACTTGGTCAAGGGCAAGACAAGGAGCTCCAGCAGAGCTGCTGGAGCAGAGGCCCTCAGCAAGAAGGTGGCCCTGGACTTTGAGGGCTTTGGTAGCCGGTAGTCAGCACTTCCATAAGCAGGACCACCAGAGGAGCCTTCTGCCCATCCCCATATCTCATCCATGTGCTGGGTGAGGAGACAACAGGCTATGCTGCTCCGTGGAGTGGATGGAGGAAGGAGTTGGGGTCCCAGAATGTGGGGGGACGYATGCACCCCGATCAGATATATTGTGTTTGTCTGGCTGTTGGCAGCCACCTTTTCAGCTGTAACCCAACGAGAGCAAAATGAAGCTCTGTGAACAGGGTTGTGGTCCAGCCATTTCCTAGCAGACAAATGCAGAAACTGCCAAGTTTTTGCAGTTTTCCTAAGGCTGTCGTGAGGGGAGGTAGTGTTACACAGTCACTGCTACCAAAAGAAAACTTCCTATTTCTTTGATCCAGACAGAAATGAGGTGTCACTGAAAGAAACTAATGTGGCAGAAGTCCCCCCACTACTGCAGCTTTTGAGTCCCATCACCTGCTGCAGATGCTGGCAAGATCTATGTGGTTTAACAGTCACTGCTTAAAAATTACGTACAAATACATTGTCATCTCGTTTTGAAATCCCAGTGTGCAGTTATTTCTCCTCAGTCCAGATGTGAGTAAGTCTGGGTTGTGATCCCTTTAAGGGGTGAGCAGGCTCAGTGATGTTTCTCCTTCAGCTTAGGTCAGACTCATGGTCGTCCGTGAGGCCATCCTTACATTACTTTACCTTTCTTCACCTCCATCAGAGTAGATTTACACTTCAGCTCCCTCTCATGTTTCCACCGCAGTAGCTAAATCCTATTCCCCATCTCCTACCGCACCTCTGCATAGTTTAGTTGGCTAACTGATGAGCAATATTTTGGAAGGTTCAAGGCAAGTCTTATGAAGATAATGTTCCCRTTGGCTTTTACAAATTTACAAGACAAAACAGCTTATGATGGTCACAAACCTTATTACACAGCCCGGCATTAGACCAGTTTGTTAAAGACTGGTACCAACTCAGGGAACGGTAAAATATCAAACAGACAAAAAGCTCCTCCATCAGCCCCGGATCCTGAACCTCGTGAGACCGAGTACTTGGAGTGAGGTAGGAAACAAAAGCTGCTTGTGGGTGTGATTCTCCTCTGCTGGTCACACAGAACTGGCGCCCGGGCTGCCTTCTCTTCGTTGCTCTCACTCTGAGTCCTCATTGCCCATGACAGTGGTTGAGCCTATGAGTTTTCTTCTGCTGCATATTTGCCGTGTCTCCCCTCCTCTTTTTCAGCCACTAATGTGAAATAGTCCTCCCTCTCCCTTTTCCGATGCTGCACAGAGACTTCACGAGTCGGCAGACATCTTCCTCAGGAACATTTGACTCTGTCATCTCTCTCATTAGAAGGTAGGATCAGCACCATCTTCCGCAGCAAAGCAGACTGAGCATGGCCGTTCCCTCCTGGAAGAGATTGCCAGCGTGGTTATTGCACTAGGTGATCCTCACATCCGTATTAGCTAGCTCTCTGGTCCTCAGATGAGAAGGGGTTGAAGCTTCCAGGCATTCTCTGAGTCCTACCACGCACCCTGTTATAGCTGGCAACGTGCAGTCTTTGTTGACCATCCTTCAAAGATAACAACCTTGCAAACTTTTTAATACTGCACTTCCTTACTATTGCTTTTTTTGGCTTCTAGTTGTCAGTGCTGGGACAATATTTGACATATGCCTTTACAMAGGCCTGAGTTTTGTGAAGGAACAAAAGCAGTTCACAGCATACAAAAGTCCACSTCACTTTTGAGAAACGCTCTCCTAACCAGCCTAACACATGATGGTGCTGAAAGGAAGTCTCAGTAATTACACTGCTCGAAAGGCTCTGGCTTTGTGCTCTGGTTTTGTGGACTCTGCAGTTGCTCTGTGTCTTGTTCTGGTGGCACATGTGAATGAGCAGGGCACATATGTGTTATCAATATGTGGACCATGTGTGTTATCAATACGTGGAGCCAAGCTCTGCTGCACACACTTGAGTGCTCTCAGCGGTGGTGACACCGATGGTAACCAACAGCCAGCTCCCAGTGCAGATACTTCCCCCCTCCACGTGTGGACCTCTGTCCGAAGCCAAGAGGAGCGGCTAGCGTGACAACTCCTACATGAGCATCTCACCCCAGTGATGTTGAAAGGAGGAGTGTGCACCAAAGACAGTTCCCCAGGTCCTCAGAGCTATTACACACGTCGCCATCCTCCCAGGGGGCCGGGCAGCAGTTCTGTTGCGTTCCTGATCCATCTCAGCAGCACAGCACGGTGTTTCCGGAGGCTCTGGCAGATACTGCAGTGCCTGCCAGCGGCAGCTGTAGGTTAAGAAGATGCTCAGAGCTGCCTCCTGTTCTCGTCCTAGTAAAGCTGCTGAGCTCTCTCAGAGGCACCYATACAGCTGCAGCTATCTCAGTGGAGCTGTGCAATTCCATCCTTGGAACRGGCACCCACCCACCAGAGAGAGAGCATCAGTCTTATGGCTCTGTTGGAAAGCTGCCAGCAAGGGCACCTTTCGTTGCTGTAGCCACACCAGAACTGCTGTCTCCAGTGTAAGCCACACCATGGGATCTAAGGGACAAGGCAGTTCATCTCTCCGTCCAAGTAGCTCTAATTTCAAAGAGGAATCACAAGTGTCAGCAGATTTCTGCTAATCCTAAAGCAGGTAGGAAAATCTCCTGCTTTGTCACCCCACAATTGCTTTCCCTGTGTCATGGGCTGCCTCACTGTACTCGTGCACCAGCACCTTCCTTCTTGGCTGCCTTCTGAGCTACTCGAACCCTTTCTGATTTAGTCCCTGTGGTTCAATCTGCTGATGACACCATCATGTTATGCTGAACTAAGAGACATCGTAATTCACATCTCTCCAGTAAATCTGAAGCMTTTGCTGCTCCCGTGTGCCTTTGTTCCTGAGCAGCAGTATTTAGGGGCTTTCTTCTCTTTTGGGGGTTACCTGAGCCCTCTCTAGTTTCAGAAAGTTGCCTGCTCATTAGAGGCACTTAGCTGGATGGCTCTTGGCCAGCTTTCTGGTAGCTGAGAGTGCGTCTGCCCTCCAGTCAAGCTCTCAATGTCTGCAGGAAACCCAGAAGTGGAAACACGAGGGACATGGGGCAGAAACCTCCAGRGAGGCTTCATGCAAGTCCCCGTGGAGCTGGGAGCTGCCTTCCTGGGGTGCTCCGGAGCTCTGGGAGCATCACGTGTGGCTGCACCCGGTGCACACACATAGCGTGTGTCTGGACCTCAACTGATGCAGCCTCGTGACATGAGGCCGCTGGGCTCACAGCCCGCTCGGGAGCCAGCTTTTAGGGTGGATTCCACCTTGTAGGACAAACGTTGACAACTCAAGATTGCCCAGGCTCCCCCCTTTTTTTTTTTTTTTTTTTTGTCCCARTCAGCTGCGTATGAGGAGGAGATCTGTAACTAGAAAAGCCAAAAGCCGCAGAACGTAAGCCCTTTGTTTCTAAACAGAACTGCAGCGTGGCTTGGAAAGCAAGTGGAAGTCCTGTCCTGGCTTCCTCCTGGGACACACGAGAGCCGTGGCCCCGTTTGCAGTCACTAGCGCTAGAAAGGGGCCATAGGTGCATCTTGCATCCACAGTGTTACTTGAGAAGCATCTGCCACTGGAAAAATGCTTGAGAACTTCACAACAGCTGTTCCTACCAAATATATATCTTTGGTTTATATTATAAATAATTATAACCTCTTCTGGTTTTAAATAAAATACTGAAAAAATAGTGCAGGCTGGTTTTGCTTTTTTTTCGTTTTTTTGCAGTTTAATTAGAAGCGCATGTGCATGCGTGGGTATGCTGGTGACCATAAGAGATGAGGGAGAAGTTGGTGCAGGACAGTTGCAAAGCGCTGGCACCTTTCCTCACCGATTCCCCGTAACCTACCAGGCGCCAAGCAGAAGCAGCAGCAGAAAGGCAGTGTTTGCTTCAAAACGATGTTGCTCTTAGGCCATTTGAAGCCATGAACTTCCTTCCCA